GCCCGGGAGGGGCTGGGTGAGCGTGGCCCGGGCGATGCCAGCCCGGATCCGGATGGCGCGGCCCAGGGGGAGGGCTGCGCGCTGACCGCCGGTGCCCCGCAGCTCCGCCATCGACAAGCGGTCGGGAGAGAAGGTGGCCATCAAGAAGCTGAGCCGGCCCTTCCAGTCGGAGATCTTCGCCAGGAGGGCCTACCGGGAGCTGCTGCTGCTGAAGCACATGCAGCACGAGAACGTAGGCTGGGGAAGGGGGGAGGCGGGCCCCCGCCCCTGACCCTGACCCTGACCCTGACCCTGACCCTGACCCTGACCCTGACCCTGACCCTGCGGTGGGACAGGGCGCAGCAGGTGCAGAGAGCTCTGACACGGCCAGGAGAAGGGCCTCTGATCCTGGTTGCCCCCCTCCTTATGAAGATGGGGTGCAGGGCCTGCCCTGCTACCTCCCAGGCGGGGTGTAAGGGGTGTGTTTGGCAGTGGAGCAGAATGACCTTTGTGAGGTGCAAATTTACTCTCACTGTTAGGAGGAAACGGGCTCGGAGGAACTTGGCCTGGGTTCTAGGTCTGAGAGCTGGTGCCCAGAATCCAAGTTAATGTTGTTTGGCCGCATGACCCTGACAACAGCAACAATAATAGATACGGACAGTATGGAGCACTTAGGATGTGCCGGCTCTGTCCTAAGAGCTTTGCACAGACCAGCTTGTTTAAGCCTCACAGTGTCGCACAAGATAAGTACTGTTAACGCCTATATACACATGGGGAAACTGAGGCACCAAAGGCCCACAGATTGTGTGGTTGGTCGGTGGCAGAGCTGGGACTTGAATTTAGGCAGCCGGGCTCCAGGCCTCAGTGCGTAACCATTAGACTGTCCTATCTGATAGAAACAGCTAGAAAACTAACTGGCAACCAGGCTCTGCTCTAGGGTTGGAAGGCAGACATTACAAATAACAACTTCAAATTTTTGTGCACGTTTTAAGCCCCACTCTTCTTCAGCAGCCCTCCCCACGGCCTCCAGCCAGGGGTGGTCTTGTCCCCGGCTGTGGACCAGCCCTTTGGCAGGCAAGAGTCAGGTGATAGGAGACCCAAGGTCAAGGGCAGGGAGCCTGCTGGCTGGAAGGCTCCTTCCCTGTTCCTTCATTCCCTTCACCACGTGTGGGTCCCTGCATGAGTTGCATGGTTTTGTGCTGCTTCCCCTGAACCCCAGAGTTGGGGGCAGCGAGCACCGGAACATGCACCTGCTCTTCTCCCTGGCCTGGCTCTCCATCACCGTGCTCCCTCCCAATTAGGGGGGGTTCCTCTTCAGCCTCTGCCCCTTAACTGCGTCCAAGAAGGCTGGGAACCTGCCTCCTGCGGGAGGTGGTGTGTTGGGAAAGGGTGGGTGGTCCTGTGCATGGCTGAGCCCTCACTGGCACCCTTCTCCCCAGGTCATCGGGCTCCTGGATGTCTTCACCCCAGCCTCCTCCCTGCGCAGCTTCCATGACTTGTGAGTCTGGCTGCACTGGGTTCCAGGGGAGCAAGTTGGGGTGGGGGGTTCCAGATTCTCTCTTCTGGGTAAGGGGCTTCCTGCCCTGGCAGTCCCTGTGCCTTCGGGTTGTTGGGGTGTGATTCTCTCTGAAGAGATCTGTCCAGCCAAGGGTGGAGAGAAGGGCAGGCAGGAGGAGGTGGGAGGGCCTTTGTGGGGTGCATGCCTGGCACAGCTGTCTGCTTGCTAGCCGCTTTTCGTGTTACCCAGCTTTAATGCCACCAAGACACCATTTCATGCTTATTTCGCTTAGCATAATACTCTCGGGTCCATCCATCCTCACGGGGTTGGCACCAGCTCACCTGGACATTCTCCGGGCGCCCAGGTGCGGGTCTGGACCGTGAGGCTCTTTCTAGCATGAAGCAGGGATCAGGAAGCCTTGGCTGCCTCTGGCTAATGGGGTGTTTGACAGAGTTATATGTAACCGAAAAGCCTCGGTGCTAAATGCGTGGCTTGGCTAGTGCAGTGGCTCGTCTAAAATTTAGAAACCTTTGAGAAGGTGGATTTTTTTTCCCCCCAGTCTTATTTAAGTGCTCTGGAGGCCTCTTTGTTAGCATGCTTTTGTTTTAAATGTAATGCAGTAATTTTGAATGGAGTGGGATTTTTTAGGGAGATAACATTTTATCATTTTTAAATTGTATTTTTCAATTCCAGTTTACATTCAGTATTATTTTGTATTAGTTTCAAGTGAACAGCATAGTGGTCAACTAATCATAAACTCCACAAAGTGCCTGCCCCCCCATCCCCATCCCCAGCCTCCGATATTTCCAGTACCCACCTGGCACCATACATAGTTATTGCAATATTATTGATCACATTCCCTATGCTGTACTTTACATCCCGAGACTATTTTATAAGTACCAATTTGTACTTTTTACTCCCTTCACCTTCTTCACCCAGCCCCCTTAGCCGCCCCTTCCCTCTGGCAGCCATCCGTCTGCTCTCTACATCTATGAGCCTGTTTCTGTTTTTTTTGGTTTATTTGGTTGGTGGTTGTTTTTTGTTGTTGTTATTTGGGGAAATCCTGTGGTATTTGTCTTTCTCCGTTTGACTTACTTCACTTAGCATAATACTCCCTAGGTCCAGCCATGTTGTCTTAAGTGGTTAAGATTTCATTCTTTTTTATGACAGAGTAGTATTCCATTGTATATATGTACCACACCTTCTTTATCCAATCCGCTGTTGATGGGCACTTAGATTGTTTTCAGATCTTGGTTTTACTATTGTAAATAGTGTTGCAATGAACGTAGGGGTGCATATGTCTTTTTGAATTAGTGTTTTGGAATTCTTTGGATAAAAACCCAGAAGTGGAATTGCTGGGTCATAATGTAGTTCTATTTTTAATTTTTTGTGGTACCTCCATACTGCTTTCCATAGCGGCTGCACCAGTTTGCAACACCCCCCACAACAATGCACCAGGGCTCCCCTTTCCCCACACCCTCGCCAGCACTTGTAGTTCATTGATTTGTTGATGGAGCCATTCTGATGGGTGCGAGGTGACACCTCATTGTCATTTTAATTTGCATCTCTCTGATGATTAGTGACATTGAGCATCTTTCATATGTCTATTGGTCATCTGTATGTCCTCTTTGGAGAAATTTTTAAATTGGATTGTTTGTTTTTATGGTGTTAAGTTGTATGAACTCTTTATGTATTTTGGATATTAACCCCTTACCATGTATCATTGGCGAGTATGTTCTCCCATTCAGTAGGCTGTCTTTTCATTTTCATTTGGATGGTTTCCTTTGCTGTGCAAAACCTTTTTAGTTTGATGTAGTCCCATTTGTTTATTTTTTCCTTTTGTTTCCCTTCCCAAGGAGATATATATTAAAAGTATACATTACTAAGAGCAGTGTCAGAGCATTTACTGCCTGTGTTTTCTTCTAAAAGTTTTATGGTTTAGGGTCTTCCATTTAAGTTTTTAATCACTTTGAGTTTATTCTTGTATGTAGTGTCAGAATGTGATCTTTCTTTTTCTGTCCAGTTTTCCCAGCACCACTTATTGACCAGACTGTCTTTACCCCATTGTATATTCTTGCCTCCTTTGTCAAATACTATTGACGATATAGGTGTTGGCTTATTTCTGGGCTCTCTAATCTGTTCCATTAGTCTATGTGTCTTTTTTTATGCCAGTACCATGCTGCTTTGATTCCAGTGGTTTGATAGTATAGTTCGATATCAGGTAGCGTGATACCTCCAACTTTGCTCTTCTTTCTCAAGATTGCTGTGGCTGTTTGGGGTTTTTTATGGTTTCATAGAAATTTTAGGATGACTTGCTCCAGTTCTGTGAAAAATGCCATAGCACTGAATCTATAGATTTTTGGGGTAGTATGGACATTTTAACAATGTTAATTCTTCCTATATCCATGAGCACAATATGCTTCCATGTATTTGTATCTCCTTCAGTTTCTTTCTCCAATGCCTTATAATTTTTCGAGTGCAGGTTTTTACCACCTTGGCTAAATTTATTCTTAGGTGTGTGGGTTTTTTATGCAGTTGTAAATGGAATTGTTTTCTTAACTTCTCTTTTTGATAGTTTGTATATACAAATACAACTGACATGTGCTCTGGTCGGTCTGGCTCAGTAGACAGAGCGTCGGCCCAAGCACGGAAGGGTTGAGGGTTCGCTTCCTGGTCAAGGGCACGTGCCCTGATCTGGGCACGTACAGGAGGCAGCCAATCGATGTGTCTCTCTCACATCCATGTTTCTCTCTCCCTCTCTCCCCTTCTCTCCCTTCCACTTTCTCTAAAAATCAATGAGAAAAATATCCTCAGGTGAGTATTAACAACAATTTAAGAAAGCACATGATTTCTGGATATTAAATTTGTATCCTGCTACTTTACTGAATTCATCTATCAGTTCTAGTAGTTCTTTGGTGGCATCTCTAGGGTTCTCTCTATACAGTATCATGCCATCTGCAAATAAAGACAGTTTTACTTTTTCCTGTCCAATTTGGATGCTTTTTATTTCTTTTTCTTGTCTGATTGCTGTGGCTAGGACTTCCAGTACTATGTTGAATAAAAGTGGTGAAAGAGAAATCCTTGTCTTATTCCTGATCTTAAGGAAAACACGTTTAGCTTTTTACTGTCGAGTAGGATATTGGCTGTGAGTTTGTCCTATATGGCCTTCCTTATGTTGAAGTATGTTTTGAATGGAGTTTTTCCTATAATGCCAGTTGCTGGGCTTAGCATTTGGAATTTAACATGACCAGCCCCTCTGGCGGGGTAGGGGTCCAGGTGGGGTGAGGGTGCAGTTTCTAAGTGAATGCTGATAGTGTGCTCTGCGCTGTAGGCGTGAGTAGAGTGCTGAGGACTGCATGCTGCCTCGGGGGGGTTCACAGCGGAGGCAGCATTTGAATTCAGTGCTGAAGGATGAGTGGAAGTTTGCCTTGGGTAGTAGAAGGGGCTGAAGGCGTCCCAGGCAGCAGGAGCTGCGAGAGCGGAGGCCACGGCACACGGAAGAGGCTGGACTGTTTAGGCAATATTGAGACGTTTGGTGTGACTGGTTTGGTCAAGCTAAGAGTCTGGATTTGATCCCTCAGGCATCTTCAAATCCACAGAGGTTTTGAACAGTGAGGTGACGTGGCCGGATCAGATTTGGGGGATGTATTGTGGTGGCAGTAAGAAAGGAGCAGGGAGCAGCTCTGGGAGCGGGAACCTAGCGGGTTGTGTTCGAGACCCAGGCCGCCATCTAGAGTGGAGCTGATGGGCTGACCTGAGACCCTGGGGACGCAGTGGCAGGGAGAGGTGCGAAGGTCAGGGGGTGCCACTTTCCTGCTCGGAGTACAAGGTGGAGGGAGAGCAGGTCTTGGGAGAAAGATAATGAACTTGGACACTTCACTTTTGAGGAGCCCGTGAACATTCCCGTGTTTATTCAGAAGTCGCAAGGAAATCCAGAGCTCAGGAGAGGAAGGTCTGCACTAGGAATGTGGACTTGGGTTGGAACCGTCACCGTGGACGGTAACGCAGCCCAGGACCGACCAGCGCAGAGCATGACGTGATCCTGTTGATGACAATATCAGTTAAAGAAGGTCCAGGAGGATGCGCAGGTGAAGAGCTGAGGGCACCTCCTCAGAGGCAGAGCGTCTCGAGGGAGCGTCGGACTTTGCGACGCCACATGGGAAGAGAGGGAGCCAGGGGGGTGTTGGGCCGTTGCTGGGGACCTCGATCGGAGCAGTTTGGGTGGTGGAGCGAGAGCAGGCGCCAGGTTGTTGGAGGCCCGGGATTTAAGGCAGTGGGGTGCAGATGCGTAGACCACTCTTCTAGAGGTTTGGAGGGGAGAGAAAGAGGGAGAAGGGGCAGTTACTTAAGAAACAAGGTCAAGGAAAGGTAGCTCTAGCACAGCGAGACTTCAGCAAGTTGTGGGCCAAGAAGAAAGAACCAGGGTCCACCGGCGGTGAAAGTCAAAGGCGGGAGGGGACTGTGCGCGGAGCAGGGCCCGGCAGGAGGCGGCGTGTGGTCAGGCAGAAGGCTTCGGTCACAGGCGCACGGAGGGGGTCTCCACCACATCTTGTGGGTCCCCCCCTTAGTGTTCCCTTTTCCATCTTTATCGTTTTTGTTCTGGACTTTGCTGTCACTACCTTGAATAACAGTTACGTTTCGCTGACCTCGGCTTGTTTCGCAATCATTTAAGACGGCCGCCTCCTTCCTTCTTCCGCCCTCCTGGAAATGGTTTTATTGTTTCCTTCTTGGAAGGGCAGGCATTTGGGGTTGTTCCCGGAGCCATCTCGGCCAGGCATGACCCTCTGGGGGAGAGGAGATTTGGACAGAAGCAGAAGGAAGTACTGGGAGATGTTTCTAACTCCCAGCTCCGGCTTTCTTGGGGCGCAGAGGAGGCAGGGAGAGGGCACCTTTGAAGAGGGGGAGCCCAGCTGCATTTGGTTTTCCCGAGCACACGCCCGCTGAAGTGCTCGCCCCGAGCTCTGCCAAGGGCCGCGGCTGCGGCCAGGCCCCGAGCCAGGGGCCAGGAGGCCGTGCGGGGCCCTGGCTGGCTGTGGGTGGACTGGTTCTGCTTACACTCGGAGGTCATCTCGGGGGCCCCCGCTTGGCCCCAGCTTCTTGCCCCTCCTCAAGCTCAGACCCGGGCTGGGTGAGGCTCGGGACTGTACAGAAGCCCTCGTGCCTTGCAGCTACCTGGTGATGCCCTTCATGCAGACGGACCTGCAGAAGATCATGGGCATGGAGTTCAGTGAGGACAAGATCCAGTACCTGGTGTATCAGATGCTCAAGGGTCTTAAGGTGGGTGGGGACCTGGAGGA